TCTAGACGCCCCTGCTGCTGGTACAGGAAGTAAGCAGTGGTGGCCTGCCCAGCCAAAAGCAGAGCCACCAGGACAGAAAAGCCGGTATACAGGGCTCCACGGCTGCACCTATTGTGAGGAGGGAGTGAGAGAATAATCCAGAGTTGGAAGCTGGCTGGGAGTGGAAATAGATGGTCCTGCCAAGCCCCTCTCAGAAGGGCAAGGACCTTGACTCTTCCCAGGAAGAAATCAAATCCACCTGGGACCCAAGTTCTATGGGGAAAAATGAGCCACGGTCATTTTTGAATAAAGAGAGTGCCCTCTTTCTTTACTCATGGTCCCTCTGCCCTGAAGATCTGAGGAGCAGAGCCCCTCAGAGGAAAAGGATTTGGTTTTGTTTTATTTATTTATTTTAGTTGGCAGAAAAAGATAGGTGCTTTTACTATGTAAGAGGAAAAAGGGTTTCATCCCCTGTGTTATTCCCAATCCCTGCAGTGACATCAGGTTTAAAGAGAAAAGGAAAAGAAATGTGACGGGCACCGCAAAGAACATGTGTGCCTGAAAAAAAGAAGCAGAGTCTAGAAATTTTACAAGTGGGGGGTAACATCATTGGGCTGGAGGAGTAGGGCCAGGAACCACCAGCTCCAGAGACACAGCCTCTGTACCAGCCTCTGGGAGTCTTTGAACAGATCTTCACCAGTGTCTCAGCTTCTGTCATGTACCCCAGCAATTCTAAAACTTGGTTCTTGGGGGCTGGAGAGATGACTCAGAGGTTAAGAGCACTAACTGCTCTTCCAGAGGTCCTGAGTTCAATTCCCAGCAACCACATGGTGGTTCACAACCATCTGTTATGAGATCTGGTGCCCTCTTCTGGTGTGCAGATATACATGGAAGCAGAATGTTGTATACATAATAAATAAATAAAATCTTAAAAAAAAAAACTTGGTTCTTCCCCAAGTGTGTGTGTGTGTGTGTGTGGTATGTGTGTTGGTGTGTGTGTGTGGGTATGTGTGTTGGTGTGTGGGTGTGGATATGTGTGTTGGTGTATGTGTGATATGTGTGTTGGTGTGTGGTGTTGGTGGTGTGTGTGTGTGGTGTGTGTTAGTGTGTGTGTGTGTGTGTGTGTGTGTGTGTGTGTGTGTGGTATGTGTGTGTGGTATGTGTGTGCTGCATGTGCATGTATGTATGGGTGCTCATGCGTACATGTATGTGGAGACCAGAGGTCCTCTTCAGATGTTTTCTTCAACTGCTCTCCGCTTTATTTTGAGGCAGGGTCTCTCACTGAACCTGGAGCTCAAAGATTCAGCTAGACTATCTCACCAACAAACCCAGGGATGCTCTTGTCCCTGCCGCCCCAGTAGTAGGATTAGTGGGTGTTTGAGATTCAAACTCAAGTCCTTGTATTTCTGTAGCAAGAAGTTTATCAATCACGCCATCTCCCCAGCACAGTTTCCCTTGAAACAAGATCATACTGTGGCCATAAAAGCACTGTATAGTGATATCCAAGTGCGGGGATTCACGGCAACATAGATGGTTAGGTCTGGATATCTGTCTCACGCTCCTGGGCGGCCAGACCCTCAGACCTCAGTGACTGCTTACAGTTTGGGACTTCGAATACTGTTTTGGGAGTACATGCACCTGTTACAGTATGGAACATAAGGGTCTTGACTCCAGACCCTGAGAGTTCCTCTCCATGCTTCCCCCACTTAGTCCTTGGGTGGGAAGAACTACCAGCACTCTGCTGTTGTTTGAACATGTCCCCTTTAAAATTACAGTGTTTTAGTGAATGGAATTAGGCACCCTTGTAAGAAGGGTTAACAAAGGGAGTTGGGCTCCTGCCTTTCCACCATCATACATTTGCAACACAGCAAGAAAGTTATCAGGTGCCAGCGCCTCGATCTTGAACTTCCCAGCCTCCTGAACTGTGGGAAATAAATCTCTGTCTATGTGTAATACATAGTGTATATATAGTATGTTATAGTAGCACACAGACTCAGACTAAGACAGACTTTATTAGAAATTCTCATGATGAGTCTTCATCTTGCCTTCTCCTGCAACCTGGAAGGAAGATTTAGGAAACTCCAGAAGACCTGTCTTCCTAGTAATTTATGATGTCACAGACACAGCTAATTTTCATTGGCTTGCCAACCCTCTGTATTCCTTAAGCCAAGGGCTGACAAAACGAAGAGTTATTTTGGAAGGAGAAAGCAAACTTCTTGGCTTTCTGAAGAAAGATGTAGCCTGGGCTCAAGGTCCTCTCTGCTGTATTATTTACTTGGTGACTCATGGAACCCCTGAACCCCTCTATCACCCCAAAACTCAGATATAGTCCCCACTCTACCTCCTACCACACAAGCTAGGGAAGCCACATTCCTCCCCTTTCTGAATTTCAGTCTTTCAGAAGGCCGAAGAACAAGGTTTGTATTAAAGATGAGAGCAGGCAGCCATAACTGGCATCCTGACTCTTCTGCTTGCCTGACTCTGGGAGTGTGAGCAAGTTGACACTTCCACAAGTGAAATGGTAAGGGTTTAGAATGAGAGATTGTTAAATAAAGCAGACATGGAGGGGATGGTGGTGGTGTACACCTTAAATCCCAGCATTTGAAAGGCAGAGGAAGGAGGAGTCCAGAGTTCAAGGCCAGCTTGGTCTACAGAGTGAGTTCCAGGACAGCCAGAATTACAAAGAAACGCTGTCTCAAAAAAAAAAAAAAAAAAAAAAAAAAACCCTGTGGAGATGAGACACTTGGCTTCAACGCCTAACACATCTTCTCTATCAATAGCACTGCTCTCAAGGAGCCTGGATTTCAAATCTAGCATCTGCCCTTCTTCCTCTTTTATTAAATTTACTATTAATTGTTTTTACATGAGATGGTCTCATGTAATGAGGCTGGCCTTGAGCCCCTGATTCTCCTGCCTCTACTTTCCAAATGCTAGGATTATAGACATGCACAATCGCACACAGCCTCTTATGCCTCTAGCTTGTCTGGCCCTCTGTTCTGATTGAGTGCCAAGTTTATCATCTCTTGGTTTTACTTCCTCCTTTGTACTTCCTCCTTGTATAATTAGGAAAAAAAATAAAAAAGTAACTGGCTGAAGTCAGAGGCCAATCAGAGTTATCAGGAATCATGACACAGATGTTGCCAGGCAGAAGTGCTCATGAAAATGCCCCAAAATCAAACCCTGTCTGGAATGGTCTGAGAGCTTAAGGCACCATCTCTGAACACAGCCCTCCCTGAGTGGCTTAAGGTCAGTGGGCTCCCACCTCCCCTCTCCACAAATGAGGTCTCTAAAGGCCCCACATAGGAGAACAAACTCAGTCTAGTCAAGGTTCAAATGCTACGTCCAACACTCACTAACTGAGACCACCTGGAAGTTACTTACCAAGATAAGCTCAGATTCCTTTTGTGTAAAAATGGGGACAATGCCAGTTATTGTGGCAAATACCTTTAATCCCAACACTCGGGAGGCAGATGTAAGCAAATATCTATTAGTTCACGGCCAGCCTGGGCTACACCTTGAGAAGGTCCAGCCAAAACTACATAGTGAGACCAGTCTTTAAAAAAAGAAGGGGGGGGCAGATAATAAAAATGTCCAACTCCTAGCTACAGTAACTGTAAGGATTAAGGTAGCATCTGTAACTTGATTATTATTACAGTGACAGTCAACAGCATCTGAGGACTAGTGAAAAGTACACAAAGGTGGACTGCTCCACCTATTGCCATTAAGCTGGGACCCAGAAAGAGGCTGTGATATTCCTGTGGTCACCTACGACAGTAGTAAGTTGCCTTGGAATTCCCCACTGCTCTACTAATCTATAACTGGTTACCTTCTTTCCAGAGCACAATTCCTCGGCACTCTCTCTTGGAGTCTCTCTCAAATTCCTTTCTGCCTGGAAACAGCTGATGTCACATCTGGTTACTTTTTTTCCAGAGTGCAATTCCTCTGCACTCTCTCAGAGTCTCTCTCCCTTTGTTTTAGTCCCCATAGACAGGTTGGGGAGTTTGGGAGCTTGGGGTTGGGGAAGGATGACAAAAAGGCAGGTGAATTCTAGTCCTGTTTGGGTTTTATTTGGGGGTGGAAGGCACAATGCCGAAAGTCATTTGGGGGCTGGGAGAGGAGCCTGGGACTATCTGGATGGCTGGGGCAGCCTCTTGATGCAAAGAAGGACGAAGAAGAGGTTCGTACATGGGTCTGACCCACAGTAGCGTTGAGCCCTTCCACTCATGTAGCAGGAGCCCCTTCTCTTTGAGCAACTGCTGGGATGGCAGCCAGCTCCTACACACAGAGAAAGGCTAATCCTGTTTCAGGTATGGACTCGGGTATGGCAGAGCTGTGCTTATCTAGGCTCATACACGCCCTCTGGCAGTTAAGGAACAAATGGGTTGCTTCCACTGTCCTCAGAAATGGTTTCCCTACTGGCATTGGAACCTTTTCTGGATCAGAGGCTAGGAAAGCAAATAGATATATTGAGGAAAAGTGAGAACTCGTCCGAGGCAGGAACACTGTGGTCTGAAGTCAAGACCTGGAGTCATCATGACCCAACTTCAGAGGGTCTGTGAAGTCCTCAAGTTACGAAACTTTGAGAAGTGAATCCAGAGCACTCTTAACTCTTACAATTCCTCAAGGAGCCCCTCGGTTAACCGAAGGGGAAGT